GCAAGCCTCTTTAATATAATGCTTTTATGATAGCTACAACTTAGCAGACCTCAGTTTCCTCATGCCTTCCGCTCATCATAATAAAGTTTTGGCACCTATTTTCTCTAATTAATATACTTCATGTGAATTCAGGATAGAGGCATCGCATGCTACATGGACAATTTTTATATTAATGGAAATAACCCATTAAGATGCTCCGACAGAGTAGACCATAAAGCACAACCTTTAAAAGGAAGCCAAAATCCACTCAATTAAATTATGATACAAATTTATAAGAAACCGTCAGAAAAAAGAAACTGCGGCATATCACTAAAATGGGTATTTTTAGTTATAATTACTTTGTTCCTGAAAAATATTTTGCAAATGAATAAAAAGAGCGCTGTTTATAGCAATAAACGATTTATAATAGAAAAAGGTCAAAAATTATACATGTAACTATATCCTCTTGAAGATAGTGAATAAGGAGGATTAATGCACCAAAGTTGAATATGTGCAAATTATGTTTATCAGACACAGAAAAAAGTGATGGAGATAAAATGTAGAAAACCCTCGAAAAAGGACTGGAGAGCACAGCGAGATTAGGGATGGGAAAATGAATGAGTGGGATTGTGCTACAGAGCCGTTGTATGAATTTATTTCCACATCAATATCGTCTATCACTTCCGCCACCATTTTGCTGGTCATACCTATTCCCTTTCCATTTACCGTCGCTCTGCTGCCTTTCTTGGAAAGAATGGCCCTTTGTTTGCGGTTGCCATGGTCGACTCAAGTTAAATGACGAACCACGATCAAAATGTCTAAGGCCAGAGGGGCGGGAACTAGCTCCACGATCAGATAGACTGCTAAAATGTCTGTATGAATCGGGTGTCTCATAAGACCGAGGAGTACTATAAGGCTGACGCATAATAGAATATCCTCTCACATTAGTATAGCCTCTAGAAGTGTGATACTCGTCTACTCGTCTGTCCATACGGGGTGGTGGGATGCCCCCCCGACCCATACCTGATTGAAAACAGCTAGACGCAGGATTATACTGTGATGGTGGAAGATAGTGGTTCAGCACACGATCTCGAGGGCCTACACATTCGCCATCACGACCTCCTCGACCACCGCCTCCTCGACCACCGCCTCCTCGCCCCCCACGATTCATGTTTTTGGGCGGGACTATCATAAAGGGTTCTGGCATTTGCACCTAATTGTATAAATAAAGTGAGAAATTAGTTTAAATGTGCATGGAAACTTAGCTAAGCAGCAGGTAGTTTAAATTCCGGAGTCCCAGGACGGTTAGTCGAAGGCAAAGCAACAACTTTAAGACAACTCTCATTCGGTTTCCAGCGAGGAAAATTTCAAATGAAACGAGAATAATATGGAATTGTCAATAGATCATCCAAAGCCAGTTTTATACGATTGTCAACAACTTTATTTGGAAAAGTGAAATTTTAAGAACTCAGATAGTAATGGGAACTATCGCATCAGAGCATGGTAATCATTTGCAGAGATGTGATAACTACTAAAACTAGTATTATAATCTAGAATATGACCAGAAGCCACGTCTTTGGCAGTGTAAAAGAAAAAAATCACAAGGAAACATATCTACGAATGTCATTTGTGCTGTTTAGACAGCAAAGTAAAAATAAAAATTTGAATACCTTGAATATCCTTAGGCTCAAATGCTGAATACTAGATCGAAAGGGAGCAAATACGACAGTAAAGAAATAATGTTGTTAGGGGGACCTTCATTTCGGATGAAAGTGCATGAAGAAGAGATTTGTTGGCCGATCTCACCAGACGAGGACAAATCAATCTCGTTGTACTCCAGCCGTTTGGCTTTTATACGATATTGATGTTGACGCATTCCACGAGACTTCCTTCCTCGATTAGGGTAAAAACGTGCTGAGCTTTCGTCCATCATATGATGGACATCATCAGAGCTGGGTGTCATTCTTGTAAAAGTCCCACGTTAACACTAAAGCAAGAATACTATCCGTCCTCATATGGTGATATCGACCAACAAATCTCTTTTTCATGCACTTTCATTCAAACGAAGGTCCCCCTAATAATGTTATCTCAGGAGATTCATCAAAACCAAGTTTCTCTTCGTATCTACAATCTTGTAGCAGCCGGATCTCGAGAATGGGTCATAATTCTCTCTAAATGATAGCATAATAGAAGAAAGTGTGAGGGTTTCTTTGAATACTGTTTTTATGCCCCACTTCTTTACTAATTCGCCTATCTTTTTTGAGAGAAAGCATGACGGTAAAATTAGGACATGGGAAAAGGTCGCAATCTGTCTCTCTTTGACTAAATGATATCCGTTTGAAAATTTATTCCTCAGTATAGAGATATTATTCTAAATAAGGCCTAAAGGATAATTATTTTCC